CCCTGTCTGCGTGCTCCCACCCTGTCTGTGTGCTCCCATGCAGCTCTGTGGTTGAAGTCAAAGGAAGAGGCCTGGGAGAGCTTTCTCCCCGTGGACCCCCGGCACAGCTCCTCAGAGCAGCGGGCAGTCCTTGCAAAGGTTGAGAGCAGGGTCAGCGGGGTGGGAGTGTAGGGGCCTGGGAGTCCAGACAAGGCAGCAAGAGTGTAGTTCAGGGTCACGGTGGAATCAGAAGAGACTGACTGATATCTCCTTGTCCCCCTCACTGCTAAGCCCAGAACTGTCCTTTCCACTTTTAAACACACCAAGTCCTTTAGTATTTACTGGTAGCCTTTGTGGTTGCCGTGAGGTGCTGTCGCTGGCCCGCGCTCGCAGTGACCCCGTACCATAGAGTGACTTGCTTCCCAGCCCTGCGCGGTGCACTGTCACCACTGTGCCCAAACCCGTTGCCCCAGGCACCGTGTCAGTCCATCTCGTCAAGGGGCATCCTCTCTTCACTGACCTCGGCTATCCCCAGCATCTTTCTCCAAGGACTGGCCGCTCCTGCTCGAGCCTAACGTGTGTAAGCTGACTTCTGGCCAGCTTCTGAGGATCACCTTGGCGGAACTTCTTCCAAGGCAGATTTGTTGATTCTTCTTTTATTTGTTTATTCATTTGGCGGTGCGTTCAGTACTCTGCCAGTGCCACTCTCGCAGACATCGCTGTCCGTTCTTCCCTCTTCTTGTTCACTGTCTGCCTGTCACCTAAGCAGCTGGAGAAACCATGGCTCGGGTCACAGGCACCTTAGTCCTCACAGTCACATCTCTGCCCTGGCATTTGCAGCAGATCTGCCCAGGGCGGTGGCAGTGTTGTCTCTGTTCTTGACTGCTGGTTCCTGGTGGTGGTGCGGTGTACGTGTGACATGAAATCCTTGGAAGCTTCTACCTGTCTGCATCTACACTGCTGCTGTCACTGGTCCAGTTGCTCTGTGTCAGACAGCTGGACAATAACTAAGGAGGACAGAAGGAGAATTGATGCCTTTGAGCTGTGGTGCTGGACACGAGTACTGAATGTACCCTGGACTGCCAAGAAAACAAACAGATTCATCGTAGAGAGGGTTAAACCAGGCTGCTCCTTGGAGGCAAGGATTCTAAGGCTCTGTCTAACATTCTTTGGACATGTTGTAAGGAGGGACCAGTCCTTGGAGAAGGACATCATACATGGAGAGGGACATCATGTTTGGGAGGGTGGAGGGACAGGGCAGGAGAGAAAGACCCTCTATGAGGTGGATTGATTCAGTGACTGGGGTAATGGGGGTAGGTGTGTTGGAGACAGTGAGATTGGTACAGGACAGAGCAGGGTTTAGGGCTGTTGTACACAGGGTCGCTATGAGTCGCAGGCTCCTCGATAGCACATAATAACAAGGTTGAGATGTCAGCCCTACAAAGCTATCCAGGCTTTGAGCTTTATCTGTAAGAAAAGCAAGCAAACTGTGAATGTGTCTTCTTCCAGTCCTGGTACCAAGTTCTTCACTAGTCTAGATCCTCAGATTATTAGCTCAGAATACAGATTAAATAAATGTGGTGAAAGGCTGTACCGTTGTCACAGCTGATTTTAGACCTTGCAGCAGCCCCGGTTCTGTCCCACTGACTGCCTCCTGCTGCCACACACTCGGCCCACATGCCAGCCTTCCTCTCCAATCAGTGTGGTGGATTCTAATAATCGCTCCTCCAAGTTCTGGACAAGATTTCTTTAAAAAATAGAATTTCTTATAATTTTTTGCAACGTTGTAAAGATTATCCTCTAATTTCTTGCATTTGCCATTTGCACATTGTTTACCTTCCCTTCAGTCAAATTTCACACGTGGTCACCAGGCGGCTGCTGTCTCACTGATTGTCTGTGGTCTCTGGTTTATCCGTGATCCAGTGTTGGTTAGCCACTTCCTGATGCCACACAGGCAGTGTCTTTGATGTCTGGTGTACGGCAGTGTCCGAGTCTCTGATGTCCGGTGTATGGCAGTGTCTGAGTCTCTTGGACACTGCCCCTTGTCGAGCCCCGTGTCACACAACCGATGATTATAACCCACCTCGAGATACCTTCCCTGAGGGATCAGTCCTGGCCTGGAAAACTCTGGAGGGTAGGATTCTGGGCCGGCATACGTGGAGTTTCCATGAGACAGAATGGACGCGGCAGCTGCCTTGTTTTAGAGGGTTGTTGTTATGTGCCGTCGAGTCGTTTGTGACTCATAGCGACCCTATGTACAACAGCCCTAAACCCTGCTCTGTCCTGTGCCAATTGCATTGCCTCTAACACACCCATCCCGATTACCCCAGTCACTGAATCAATCCATCTCATCGAGGGTCTTCCCCTCTTGCGCCGTCCTTCCACCCTCCCAAGCATGATGTCCCTTTCCAAGGACCTGTCCCTCCTTGCAACATGCCCAGAGTATGTCAGATGAAGCCCCAGAATCCTTGCCTCCAAGGAGTAGCCTGGTTTAACCCTCTCCGGGATGGATCTCTTTGTTTTCTTGGCAGTCCATGGTACATTCAATACTCTTCTCCAGCACCACAGCTCAAAGGCATCAATTCTCCTTCTGTCCTCCCTAGTCATTGTCCAACTCTCTGATGCATAACAGGTGATTGCAAAGACTATGGCCTGTATCAGGCGTACCTTAGTCTCCAGAGAGACACTGTTGCTCCTGAGTACTTTAGAGAGGTCTCTAACAGCAGACTTTCCCATCACAATACGTTTTTTTGATCTCCTGACTGCTGGTGCCAAGAGTGTTGACTGTGGAGCCAAGCAAACTGAAGCTTTGAACAATCTCAATCTCTTCGCCATCCATCCTAACACTTACCAATTGGTTCAGTGGTGAGAATCTTTGTGTTCTTAGCATTGAACTTCAGTCCATACTGAAGGCTGCAGTCCTTGACCCTCTGCAGCAAGTGCACGAGGTCCTCCTCGGTTTTAGCAAGCAGGGTTGTGTCATCTGCATAACGCAGATGTTTTAGAGGGTGGGAGAGGGGAAAACGCCAGACGGAAGACAGGCTTCACTGCTGAACAGCACACAGACGTGATTTTACCACATGGGGACAATGGTGCTTCAATGTTAAGCGCCAGGACAACGCTGATGGTCTGGATTGAGGCAGTTCTCGTCCATGTTCCCTGGACTTTTGACCGAGTGTTCGCTTTGTCTTTTCTGTTCTAGGACTTCCACTGGCTGACCCGCTCCAATATGTGACTAGAGATGCCCATGGCTTCGAGCAGGCGTCTCTTTCTTGCAGATGGAATCTGTTTTCCACAGCAGAATTACTTCAGTGTTCACACTGTGCAAAGGAAAAGGAAACTCTCAATTCTGGCCACTCAGTTGACTCCCAGCTGACCCTCTAGTGAGTGTCGGAGACTGTAGAGCACAAGTGGGGAGATGCCCACCTTCCTCCCTTGCATCTGCTGGCAGATGTGAACCCCCAGACGGACGCTGCCCGGGGCCTTGCAGCACGGCTCCCTGTGCACTCTGCCTCCGGAGGGACCTTTTAATACAGGAACTACCGAAAAGAGCAAAAATGACCAGTACTCTAGCACCACGGCAACCATTTGAAGCTTGAACAAAGAAGAGGAATTTCATGAAGCAGTATCACATGTTGCCTCACTGTGCGCTGCTCTTTACTTTAATCCGTCCTTGAAGTTGATTGTCTTTTAAAATACCTTTGAAGAAAAAAGCTCCTTGAACTGTCTAATGCAGAAACGTATTTGATGTGCAAGAGCACGTGGACTGTTTCTACTCCGTGTTTTGCCCACTGGCTGCTTGGTGCCACCGTCCTCCCAGTATGAAACGAGGTGATGCTTAAGTTTAAGAGTTTCTGGTTTGCTTGTTGTTTGCTGTTTTCAATCTAGAGAGAACTTTCTGCAATAAAGGAGAAATGCACCACGTCAGTGGTAGGAACGTGCTGTATTGGGATTAGCCGCTTTGCAAAATGACATAGAGATAAGCAGGTACTAGTTCTGTTGTATTCATGATTTTATAGAATTTGCATTTGCCATTAGGATAATAGGCAAGAGGATAAAAATGTATAATTCACAGAAATGCAAAGTTTAATTAATGAGAATATGAATGGCTAGGAATAGATAAATTATACCTGGATGTCTTATTACGTGTTCATTTTAAAAAGCAGAACACTTTTAAAATTCTGATTCTCGAGTTCTGGTGGCCTAGTGGCAAGGAGCTGCAACTACAATCCCAGAGGCGCACGGTTTGAATCCACCAGATCTGATTTGACGGTACACTCACACAAAAAAACAATAAAATAAGGGGAAAAAAAATTAAAAAAAAAAATTCTGATTCTCTCAAAACAATGTGAGATACCATCTCACCCCAGTAAGAATAGCAAAATTTAACAGAGCAGCAAACTTCATATGCTGGCGAGGTTGTGGAGAAACTGAAACCCTTACTCACTGCTGGTGGGAGTGTAAAATGGTGCAGCCACTATGGAAGACAGTATGGTGTTTTCTCAAAAAGTTGCAAGTAGAGATATTATTTGACCCAGCAGTTCCACTACTGGGAATATACCCCAAAGAAACCATAACTGTCACCTGAGCAGATATATGCACACCCATGTTTATCGCGGCTTTGTTCACAATAGCAAACAGTTGGAAACAACCTAAGTGCCTATCAACAAACAAATGGATAGAGAAGCTCTGGTATATTCACACAATGAAATTTTATGCTGCACTGAAAAACAAGGAACTCATAGAATATTATTCAAAGTGGGTGACCCTGGAGGACATTATGCTGAGTGAAATATCTCAGTCATGAAAGGACAAATACTGCATAGTGCCACTGTTGTAAAATGGGACTCACATCAGGGTTGGAGGGAGACTGAGAAAGAGGGGATAAATAATGTATACTGCATTGAAACATAAGGGAGAGAGCTGGTTAAAAGGGGTATATGATCAGATATCATTATCATGACAGGAGTCCAGAATGAAGGCTGCATAATGGAGTGAACTTGAGGGGAGGGATTGTATAATAATGAAATAATTTTTCTTTTCAAAGAGAAGAGCAAGTTGGGGGAGAGGGGTGGTCAGGGAGAAAAGTGCAACAATGAATGAATGGAAATCCAAAGTCTCTGTAAACTTTCATTAAAATTAAATTTAAAAAAGAGTAAAAAAGAAAAATTCTGGTTCTTAGTGCAGTTGAAGTGGTGTGAGGCGAGGGTCCTACCACTGATGGACATCAAAATTGGTACCTTTTGTAGAGTAATTCGAATACTGCTTGTCATTTAGATACTAAGTTTTCACATTCCATAAGTTTAGTCCCAGAGAGTCCATTGAGAAGATGTATCCCACAGAAACCATTAAAGATTTAGGAACGTAATCGTACATCAAGCGATGGCGGCGTCAGTGTTTAATAGGAAGGCTTTGGGGACATAAACTGTGTTCGTGCAGAGAATAGCGTGTGTGTGTTGTGAGACCCCCGACATCATGGGGGCGAGCACAGAGCTGGGAGCAGGATCTGCGCAGGCCAGACGCCGTGCCTCAAAGGCGATTCATCACGTGGGAAGAGATTGCCCGTCTTTTCCCCACTGAGCAAGGCCTGACGGGTGGGACTTCTGTGTGAGCAGCACAGCTCCGTACGCATCACGCCTCAGAGCTCCCTAGAAGTGATCAAGTCTCACTCTGGTGGTAAGAAGCTGCGGTGCAATCCCAAAGGCACGCAGTTCAAATCCACCAGCTACTCTGCAGAAGGAAGGGCAGTGTCGTCTTGTGTGATTACTGCCTCCGAAAACCCCGCTGGAGGGTCAGCTATGGGTCGGTTCTGACCTGACAGTATTCAGCCACAAAGACATTGCAGTTTGCTGTGAACTGGAGAATACGGCCGTCTATCAGAGCTGTGATTGTCAATTGTTGATGTCAGAGTCAGAGGATTCAGCTGCTTGGGGACATAAATGTTCGCAGCCCATTGAGGGACCCCAGCTTTGAGGGGCGAGGCCAGGAGTTTCCTGCAGGGAGCTGTGTTTTAGCGCCATTCTGCCTGTGGTCACTTCTCTCTCACGGCCAAATGCAGTAGGAAGTTTTGTTGTAAGGTAAAAGAACTTGACAACGTTTAAGAACCCAGCTTTATGAATTTGTTTCTAAATATGAAAGAGAAATTGGAAAATGCCCCTGACCTAATCTTTCTGTCTCTGGAGAAAAACAATGGCCACATAACCGACTGTCCAGCAGAGGTCAGTGTGCACATGTAAAAACGAGTCCTCAATGCCAGCCCTTTGATTTGCTATTCTGTGAAATTGATCCCAAAATCTGTTTCATCACAGGAATTTTACCTAAAACAAGATACTGACAGAGTTCCTCTAAAGTGAGTCTGCTGGTTGACAGTGAGAAGCTGCTGTAATGTTTGGTGCCCGGTTGATGGTGACCAGGCTGTGCAACATGGT